ATGTACCTACACCTAGTATGAGACTCTAAAATAATTATATTTGTCCAACTAGTGTAGGTAAATACATAACTATATATCATGTTAATTAGCTCCTTGTCTAGAAGCCATCACTTTATTTCCACCTAAAAGATTATGTCTCATAGATCAGCATAAAAATGATAAATTATTTTAATGGCTGTTGTGTTTTATTATCTACCTACCTACAAATAGTATATACCAAAATATCTGTATCCATTTATAAATCTTGTTGAATACTACATTTAGGTAATTTCATTTCGATAAGATAAAGTTAACAGTCATGTCTGCTATTTAAATAATAATCCATTGCAATAATTATTTAGGCTCTATGGATTTTAGCTTGAGAGGTGTCGTTAGATTCGTATTTACTGTGAGAGTGACACTGGGTATATCAATATAAAATAAAAACAAGATGGCGGATTTTTGGCGCCAAATTCAGATGTTTAGCACGCTCTGCAGACTAAACGGCTCGATGGATTTATTCACGTAGTCGGGTGTTTTGTTTTTCAATTATAAGCTTGTTTTTGGTAAATTTTCTAATAGTGAAACCTAGCTAGATCGATTAATCACCCCCGAAACCCTCTGCATACTAAATTTCATGAAAATCGTAGAAGCCGTTTCCGAGATTCAGATTATATTTATAATATTAATATATATATATATATATATATATATGTTACCACCCCTATTCATCCCGTGGGTGTCGTAAAAGCCGACTAAGGGAGCAAACTACGCAGGACCAAAGCATTGCAAAGAGAAGGAAAATTTGAAACAAACCCTATACCAACCACAACCTCCTTTCTAAGGAGAGGCCTATGTCCAGCAATAGACTGTTGTAGGCTGTTGGTGATTGATGAGATAATATATATATATATATATAGAGAGAGAAGAAAGAGAGAGAGAGAGAGAGAAGAATTGCTCGTTTAAGGGATTATACCCTTTCCAATCGTTTATTTAACTTTTGACAGGTCTAATACTTAATCAAATAGTGATACCCTGACCCGTTACCGATTCGATTTCCTTTAATCGATGGATTTTATTCATGTAGAAGCTTTACTCGATTTAACACACTCATTATTTTATCGATAATTTCGTAATTTTATCGATTATTAAACGGCAACACCGGACGCGGCGGCGACGCGCAACGCCATTTTGTTGTCAGTGTTAGTCCACATTTTCATACGTCGAGTTGAGTATTTATATTCCTCCGTATTGATTTATTTGTTAATCCTCACATTTGGTTGAGTTGAGCGTATCGTTCCTCCCTTCGTTACTGTCAAAATACTAAAAAATAAAGTACTTAAAGGACAAACAAGAGAGTTTGTCTAGCGACTTCGTGAATACTTTGAAAAGGAAAGCCGTAATGGTGGGCCTCTTATACTAGTGACTCAAGGTAGAGACCGTGTTGCAGCAGCATTAGGTATTAGTGCTCCAACAGTGGCAAAAATAACAAAACAAGGCTACGGCAGCAGAGGCATGGGACAGAATAAGCTATCTACACCTAAGAAAAAACGTCAGACCTGTAAAGTGACAGCAGTTGACAATTTTGACACTGATGCTACTAATAACAACAACATTAAAAAAACTAACACAATCTCTACGAAATAGTGGTTTGTTAAGTGGTCAAAAATCTTCTTTGGCAAAGGTATTGAACGACATTGGATTCTTATTCCAAAAATGTGACAAACGAAAAATTTTAATGAAATGCAATGATATTGCTTTGTATCGATGCGAATTTTTAAGACAAGCAAAAAAAAAATAGAAGATTGGTCGAATGTTGTTTTCACAGATGAAACTTGGCTCAATGCGAATCATACGCTGTCAAAAACTTGGACTGACAACACTGCTGGCTCCACTTCTGCAGTACCAATGGGAAAAGGCGAACGACTGATTATTTGCCATGCAGGAACAGCAAAAGGATTTATGCCAGACGTTCTATTAGCTTTCAAATCCCAGAAAACAGGAGATTATCATGAGGAGATGAATTCGAACGTGTATGAAAAGTGGTTCAGAGAAATGCTTACATCACTCGAAGAGCCATCAATAATATTTATTGATAATGCACCCTATCACTCTCGTCAAATTAATAAAATGCCAACGCAGGTCAACAAAAAAAATGAAATCATAAACTGGCTCCGTAACAATGGCGAGGAGGTAGACGAGTCCCTACTAAAAGTAGAGTTAGTAAAGATATTAAAAACAAAGAAGCTGCCAAAACGATACGTAATAGATGAAATGGCAGCAGAGCATGGGCATACCGTCCTCAGAATTCCCCATATCACTGCCAATAAATGCAATTGAAATGATCTGGGCACAAGTTAAAGGATATGCTGCGAGGAACAATACAACTCCTCCTTTCACCGCAAGAAAAATGCTGGCTTTACTAAAAAAATGCGTGTGTAAAAATAACTCCTGAAAACAGGGCGAGTGTTGTAAAAAAAACAAAAAAGGTGATAATGTCGGATTGGGATCGGGATGATGCATTCGACAATTTATCTGTCCAAGAATTGATAATCAATATTACTGAGAACTCAAGTAATGATGATTCCTGGTCATACGAAAAAGACGATTATTTATAATTAAAAATAGTATTACAGTACCTCTTTTGGTTCTTTTATTTTTTAATCCCTAAAGTACTATGAATTTCAACATTTTGTACCTGTTCATTATAAGTAGGTACCGCAGTTCATTCACATGCTTTTTATTTGAACCAACGATTATTTTAGATTCATTAATTTGCAGCGAATACATTCGATCCCATTACTAGGTACGAGTACGATGGAACTGTTTTCATTACGCAAATTATTTATGCATTAAAACAGAGACATTTAGGGCATTTTAATGCAAAATAATAAAGGTTTACGTGATTTGATTTAAAATATAATCACAGTAATTTTATTGTATGTTTTATTAATATAATCGATTTATTTCAAAACCGTTTTTGACATCTCTAAGTGGGCGGTGCCCGTCCATGAAGTACAGTATTCCCTGTAGTATATTGTATCAAAAATTATTACAAAACTTTATGTGCGTGATCTGTCAAAAGTTAAATAAACGATTGGATACACTATAGATGAGAATAGGCATGAAATATCAGTACATAAATCGAACTATTATAGTACCTTAGGGTCAATGATGGAGAGGTTTTTAAAATTTTAGCATAGAACTTAGCATTTTGTATATTATATTTATACATTATATAGATAGTCTAGTATAGTAATATTCGTATTTTATATAGATAGATTGGGTTTTATACTTTATAAGAGCCAGAATTTTAATATAATTGGCAATATATCTATGTAGGTATGTATATGGTATACCAAACACCTAAGGCATGCGCAGGGTTCTATAGCCACCCTATGGATACATATAACAAAACTGCTTGGTTTTATTATTTAATGAAGGTTGTCAGAAAGGTTCGGATCAATACCGGCGACTGTTTCTCCTCATGCTACATACGGGGACAACGCGGAGAGTTATTTCGTCAATTTGAACGAGAGCTATAAAGTGGGGTGAGTAGACACAAAGATGCAGCCTCCCAACTCGGACAAGATGATAAAGGGCCGAGAGGGCAAGAGTAATCTGAGAGACCCGAAACGCTTAACGTTGAACCAGAAACATTTGTTTGATGTTATTGCGGTTTTGTGTCTTTGTTGAGACAAGTATTTAAGGTATAACTTGCGTAAACGAAATAAAATGCTTTGTTTTTTTGTGTGTACCATACACACAAAAAAAACAAAGCATTTTATTTCGTTTTTAATATACCTACATATGTAAGTATTGAATGAATTTTTACCATTCTGGCGTGGAAGATAATTTAGTTTTATCTTTTCTTTATAATTTAGCTTTTGCTTTTGTATGTCAGTTATCACGGTAAATAGTACCCTATGTTACTCGCCGATAATGCTTCCCATTGGTGTAAGAATGTTTAAAATCGGTTTAATGGTTTAGGCTTGAAAGCGTAACAAACAAACAAATTCACATTTATAAGTATGAATTTTTACTAAAATAATTGTCATAATGTATTTAAAAATTGTAGACCTAGTGCTCGTTGAACTATGGATTAAACATGTAGTCCACAATATAAGCAATATTGTTGTAACCTATCGCATATGTGGCCTCACATACCTCAGATAAAGTTCGTATGTGTGCAACACAGTAGAGCCCCGAGTCGACAATAACAATATATAGCATACAAATACAATCCACCTAAATTGTTATTATAATATAATGTTTTATAATCAAATTAATAATGAGCAGGCTCTGTCTAAAATCGAACCAAGATAACTTTACGTTTTATGATAAAACATGGAAAAGAAGACGTCACACTCTTTTGTAATTCTCAGTTACTTTATCTGTAGAATTGGTATCAGGAAGTATTGTAATTATTTGATAGTAATGCCATTTATTGTTGGGAGAAAATGAAAGATCCGACCACAACATACTCGTAGGTTTCCACAAAAAGAAGTGCCGTAAAAACTTTTAGATATATGTGATGATTACTTGAGGGTTCGTCCCACCTGTCGTTAGAGACAGCTCTATATAACTCAACAGAGACTTCGGTGGTATATAATCGTTGTATAGTTTTGATGTACCTACCTACGAATGATGTTGTGTAGTGTATGTATAATACTAGGTAGGTAGGAATGTATCATTTACAGTAGCATTATGTATTATGTTAAATAAACATGTTTCCAACATAGTAGCTAAATTTCGGTGTACAAATTTCAATATTATCACTTACTAGATAGATATTTGAGGGTAATAATTAAGTAAGTAGGTACATATAGGTATTAGCTGACAGTTATCCATAAACCAATCGCAGTTCGTTGGATTTTAAAGTATTCTTAGAAGTACTAACAAACTTTTTTGGGACGAACAGCATGGAAGAGATCCCTGTAAAAGACAAGAAAATCTGATGAATTTGTAATGGTCTTTTTCTAAATATTTTTAAGTTCTACGGTTACAAACCAGTCAGTAGGATGAAGGGTATAACTAAGAGTGTAACTATGGATATTTTAGAAGTTACTTCATGTTCGAGTGGACGTGTCCGTATCAACGTTAAGGATCACCGGCGACTGCTAAAGCCGTACACAGCTTCCATTAACATTGTGGTATCGGTATGTATCGTGTGTTTGTGCCGCGCGGCTATACCTCTGCTGACGACGTTCGCCTTTGTCGGTGCGCATTCCTTGCGCTCGCGCAGCTCGCCCCTCGCCCCGCGCTGCCGCTGTGATCTCGCCGCTCGACACGCCCCCGCGACACAGGCCGCTGCCCACAGACATGTGTCGCGCCCCGAGCACGCTTCGCAGAACAATGGACCGCGCGCAGATAATTATTTGTTCCGATAAGTCATTTAGAAAAGTGGTGAAAGCACAAGATTTAGCCGGCTATTGTGCGCCCGCTCACTCGCCCATTCTACTAATTGTTTTTGGAAATTATGGAACTTCTTTTGAGCTTTTATTATTACTTATGGTTGACTGAACACTATCGTACTTGGTAGCGAACTATTTATTGGTGTTGTTTATGTTGCAATTTACCTTTTAAAGGCTTGTGCGTTTTATCGTTAAGAGTTGAATTACGGTTAACAGTTAACCGTAGATACCTATCTAACAAGGTAATTGAACAATATACTAGCATTAGAAGCCTTTTAACATTTACCTATTTAGTTACCTATATTTGATGTGGTATTGTGCACTATAATATTAGCCTTCGATACGTCTGTAACTACCTACTGACTATTGCGACTGGCTTCATATACTCACTACTTCTTTGACTATCTATCTAAAGCATACCTCATCATCATCATCATCATCAACATCCTATAACAGTCCATAGAAAGGAGGTTTTGGTCTACTATACCACGCTGGCCAGACGGGTTGATATAGGGTTTGTTTCAAGTTTTCCTTCTCTTTGCTGTGCTGTTGTCCTGATTAGTTGGCTCCCTTAGTCGGCTCTTACGACACCCACGTTATGAATCAGCGGCGTGCACAGGATTATGACACTAGGTATGCGGCTGAGTGGTCGGTCACAAAAACTTTTTCTTTTATAGATTTTTAGCATAGCCAAAGCCATGCGACGGATCTCTCTCTCGGAGTCGGAAACCATGCCAACAGAAGAAGTCTTAGATGTACTACTATTCATGTACATCTTTAACGGGAACGCAGACAAAACAGCGATAGATCGTCGCGGCGGAAGAAATTCTAATAAGTAAAATAACAAGCTAAAATATTATATTATAAATACTCACCTGGTCACACACATTTTTCACACATACCTCACAATCAAATAACATTTAAAAAAAATCAACGGAACTCAGTAATAAACTGTTAAATGTACACACTTTCAAATGTTAAAATGAAAAATAAAACTATAATTATACTGGCGGAAAGAAAATAGTAAACAATGCTTATCACATGAAAAAAGCAATATGGCCCCCGCGAAACACAAAAAAATATCTGCTAACAAAAAAATATTAAACATATAAAACCCTACCATATTCAAAATTTATAATCCGCATACATGATTTATTATATTTCTGTCTATTGTGTTTAGTCGATTTATAGGCAACGAACATTTCCGATTACTCCCGACAATTGCCGAACTTTAGTAGCCTGCGGCTGGAGCCGGGGAAATAAAATATATGGGTGTGTGCGTTTGCGAACTGTGCACGGACACCAAAATTACTGCACACATGCGAACAAATTTCCTGCGGCATGTTTCGGCATGAGTTGGTTGGTAGGTACAGCGCCGCTTGCTTGTTGGTAAACGCCTGGCAAACATAATGTTTGCGTGCTTTCAAATGACAAATAGGTGCTATTTATAAAATAGTAGGCGTTTTTAAGTTATTATATTTTGTTTATTCATTTATTTACTATTAATTAAAGTCATTTAAAACGTGCGAACGTTTTATTAAAATGTCTGTGAATAGCAAGTAAAGCACTGCATTTCTGCCTACAAGGAGCGCACGCCCCTGTTATGAATAGGGGTGGTGACATTCCGTATTCTTAATCCGTCACCACACGGACTTACAGCATACCTACCTTACTTATATAACACTCATAACACTGACACTTGATATTTATAACACTTATCTTATTTAGTTTACAAAGAATCCAATATATTTTTTTATAAATTAATGTCTAAGTATTTCTCTTGATCTAGGTAGGTAGATACCTATCTACGCAGTGCCTACCTAAATACGAACATGCTAGAGAGATATCTAAACGTTATTCATTGTAGATAACTAAGTGCTTATAACTAAGTTCGGTACATAGTACCAATGTGTCATGTTCCTAATGGTAATTACAACAAGTAAGAACTGTAACTAAGGAAGATTAAGATAAAAATCTATAAAAACCAAACAAGTAGTAGTAACATAGGTACCTACTTAATTGTAGTTTAGTAAAACTAAATACCAGGGTTTAACGGCGAATCGACTTAAGAAGTAAACGACAGTTTGCCCTCCCACCTCCGGACTTCATTATCAGGACATCGTTCCCACCCTAATCTGTTCCACTTGTCTAAACGAAGCACGACACTCAAACATAGTATTGCCATTAAAACAACATAGGTATACCTATGTACCTAAAAAGGTACAAAGTATTATTTTGAACATTAGTATTATTTTTGAAGTTTATAATTGACATTTAAGAATTACTTACATACCTAATTAACGAAGTGTGAGTGTAGCCTACACAGTGTTAATAAAAAACTGATTTCCCTAAGCTTTCCCATAATCTAACATACTACTTACCAATATTGTTGTAAACTCACGGAGTATCCTATAACTCTTGCGTCTCATATACCCAACTCGTAATTCATTTTTATGTAGGTGTATATCGTACAAGCGAACATAAATCAGCTCGTTCCCCTTGGTACTATTTTAGGCTAACATTACAACGCGATAGTCTGATACCGTCTGATACACACGATATATGAGTGTTAACCATAAACTTTCAACAGAGTCTTGTAACCTTGGGATCGATTCCTCCTTGGGAGGGAAACAAATTATCAGATTTTTTTTCTGAAAAACAACTCCCGAATTAGTATTATATCCTGTGTCGCGGGGGACTTACTGCTTCACTTGTATGTTTGTTTGTATGTTTGTAAACGACTCCTTTGGGCGTGATTTTGAGGTTAAACGGTCAGAATTCGTTCAAACTTTGTAGAAATATCGAGGACCGATGACAATACACTATATTATAAATTATAGTTTAAAAAAAACTAAAAAACACGCTTTCTATAGAAAACAAAATTAAATAATAGAAAATAAATTTGAAAAAAAGCGTTGGGTGCCTGTTGTCAATAGTAAAAAGCACCCCACCCTTTTTTTTAAAGGAATTTTCTATTTTTTTAAACTATAATTTTTACTGTAAGTATATTTACCTAACGCTAGGAACAATGATCTTAACGTAGGTACCTTTATTGATGTACCTATTGTTTGGAAGAAAAAAGTAACCCTTTTTTTTCTCTAAACTTTAACTTTACCTTTTTTTCTCTAAACTTAAATATAGATTAGATAGTTTGAAATTTCAAACTATCTACCTAATCTATATTTAAGTTTGGATAAAACTTTCGATGCGCTAGTAAGACTCGCATTTGCCCGATTTATTTAAGAACTTGCTAGGCAATCTTAAAATCTACTAGCTAATCTTAATAATATTTCGAGCTTTTTAAAATAAATTTAGTATACTCTAACGTACTGTAGATTGGTAACATACATAAATTACCTACAGTAAGTGATGTTATAGTTGGACCTATATATTTACTACCGTTTACTTAGCACCGACTCCAAACAGACCAGAAGGTACCTTTATGATCTTACCTATTAAATTACCGGTGTCACATATTGTGTTCGAACCATTTCAATGAAGTGTGTAATCAATTGTGTTTCACTACGTTAGTGTTTTTTGAAATCTGTTTAACTTTTTAGAAAGTATTTATTATAAAAACTCAACAAATTCACAAATAACTACCAATGAACTACAATTAATAAAATATTTAATAGCGAAGGGCTCGAGGAGAGCATGAGATTCTGGATGACTTCTTCATTAGATGACGTCAAGCAACTGCTTCTTACACGCTGTGTTCTGGTTGATTATTTATCTAAGTACCGTTAGTGGCAGAAGTATGTACCTATATGCCACTAACTTCAAGACGTCGAATATTCCTGCACCTAACTTAGAAATGTCGACGACAATATTATATATTAATTAAAACTAATATATTATTAAATAAGAAAACAAATTAATAAACCCACGCTTAATAAAATAAATTAGATATGAAAAGTTTTTTCTATACCTACCTACCTATAGATCGTAAGCCAACAGGTTTAATATGTATCATTAAAAAATCTAATAAGTTTGAAATGAAAATTAAGTTATTAACTTTACTTAATGTATCCTTGTGTATATTTTATTGTTCTTAATTCGGATAGTAAAATATTCATGATTAAAAAAAAACCTATAAAGCGTTGATTAAAATTACTGTATTTAAAATACATCTTTGAATCGCCGCAACTTCTTCCAACTATTATTTTTACAACGTTGGTACCTATAGATTTTTTTATCTAAAATATGTATGTATTTATAAATACATAAGTATGTTTATCGGCAGCGGGTTACAATAGTACAGGCTCTGCCTAGTTTAGGATTAGATTGCCTTGTGTAAGTTGGGTTATTATTATTATTATAGTTACGATTGCGTATCACAAAACACGAAACTTTGAAAGCTACAACAGTACCTTGAAAAAAAGCTACAGCGACTAAGTATAGTTAATCTGAGAGTTATGAGATGTATTTTCCAACACTCGGCTTTCAAATATTTAAGGTGAAATATTTTCTTTAATTGAAATGAGACCATACATACGTAGGTAGGTACACTTACACATTATCCCTATGGGCAAGAAAATCGTATTAACCTTCCACATATTGCCAACTATTTTAAGTCCCACTTGCGTGATAGGAAGGTGTAGGTTCCGTCGGGGTACCAGGGATTTTCTTTCTAGTTTACACGTAGTACCCCGGACACTGTTACCCGAGACGGCGTGCGGTTTTTAGTCGGCATAACTATCCCACCGGTCCGGCCGGTGGGGGGTAAACTTCTGAAACTAATTAACGCGTAACATAAAAAATATTTAATCCAAGCGACAACTTCCTCTTTTTCGAATTTAAAAAATACACACGTTATTACTACGATTAAGGTTTTTTTCCAGTTGTTCAACGGTCGGTGTGGGCGAAACTTTGCTTTATTAATGACTCTTTAATGATCGTAAAACAGACGATTGTGGTCACTTTATGACATTTTTTACTTTAATTGGATGAGCTTTCGACAGTTTTATTAGATTTTA